TGTGTATATATGCATGTGTGTGTATGGTGTGTGTGTGTGTGAGTGTGTGTGTGTGAGTGTGTGTGTGGTGTGTGTGTGAGTGTGTGTATATGTGTGTGTGTGTGGTGTGTGTGTATATATGCATGTGTGTGTATGGTGTGTGTGTGTGTGAGTGTGTGTGTGTGAGTGTGTGTGTGGTGTGTGTGTGAGTGTGTGTATATGTGTGTGTGTGTGGTGTGTGTGTATATATGTATGTGTGTGTATGGTGTGTGTGTGTGGTGTGTGTGTGAGTGTGTGTGTGTGAGTGTGTGTGTGTGTGTGTGTGTGGTGTGTGTGTGAGTGTGTGTGTGTGAGTGTGTGTGTGGTGTGTGAGTGTGTGTATATATGTGTGTGTGTGTGGTGTGTGTATATATGTGTGTGTGTGTGGTGTGTGTATATATGTGTATGTGTGTATGGTGTGTGTGTGGTGTGTATGGTGTGTGTGTGAGAATGTGTGGTGTGTGTGTGTGTGTGTGTGTGTGTGTGTGTGTGTGTGTGCACACAGTTCCCAGACGATGTCAGGCTCATGTCTGGAAAAGAGGAGTCAGGACACTGCTACTTTAACATTCTTGTTTGTGATCCCTTTATATAAAAAGAGCATCTTCTCCATGTTAGCAACCTTCAGGGCAGATGTTAATTGACTCTCAGCTGCTGAGAGAGTTCACTGCAACTCTGCAATTAAGGACTCTTTCCCCTTCCCATGTCTCATGTCTTCCTGCCCTGCCTCAGTATACCCACCACCTCAGATGTGGTCCTGTTTCCTCCCCCAGTGTCCCTGAGCTGCAGTGTTGGCCACCTGAAAAGTAGGTATATAAACCAGCTACCTTGAAGAACGAAGTGAGAACCTTGGGCCATCAGATTGCTGGGCCCTGGGTACAGTCACCAGAAGAAGGTCCCATCCCTCAGCAGGTGTTCTCTGAAAGGTGACCAGGACAACTGGATAGACTGTAGACTAGGTATGATGTCACTAGAGGTACAAGGGCTACACAAAAAGGGCTGTTTTGTCCTGAAACTACCAAGAGCTTCTGCCTGTAATCGGCAGAGGGATCACAGATGTCTTAAGGGGTTGCAGGGATGCTCCTGGGGGCCCAAGGGCTCCATGAAGAGACAGGTAGCTCCTAGGAGCTCACTGGCAGGTCACCTTAGCAGAGATGGTGAGCACTATGTTTTGTGAGAGACTCTGTCTCAAGGGAATACAGCAAAAAATAATAGAATTGGACACTTGGCATCTTCCTCTGGGCCCTCTGTGGGTGTGTGCACATGTGTATATGTGCACACACATGTGTACACATACACACATGTGTCCACACACATGTGCACATGTACACAATCTATGACAAAAGAATTGTTGAAAAGATCCCACTCAAAACCACATCTATGACCTCTGGCTACCCAATGAAGTTGCCAAATTTACAAGGAAATACCCTGACCTGGAGGGTATAGCCCAAGAACAGTTAGCCCTAATGACATTTGACAAGTCACCTTTTCATGTCCTCGTTTCCCCATCTGTGAAATGAGGCAGTGGTCAGCCACTCTTAGGAAGCCATGTGGGCTAGCTGTGTGACTGCTTGTGGGGCTGGGTATCAAGCCTTCACAAGGAGGTACTGAGGGGACACTTTGAGTGATGGTCTGGACTAGAAGGCACTTTGAATGCAGGCCTGGACATGACTTGCTCATGTTTGGCTTTCTTATTTCTGGGGTTAGTTTGTTCCCTTTTCAGGTCCCTGGGATTCCAGGTTGGAGGGAGAAGAGGCCTGGGGAGCTGTGAGCTTCCCTAGGTAGGGGGAACCAGCCACAGGACAGTAGCTTAGGCAGGGTTGTTGTTACCTCCAGGACAGAGGTTCTTGGTAGCTGCTGCCATGCTCCTGCCCACACAGGAGAGGAAAGGGGAAAATGGAACAGAGTGGAGGGGAGAGGCTGGAGAGATGGCTCAGTCAGTAAAGCGCTTGCCTTTTGAGCATGAGGACCTGAGTTTGGTCCCTAGACCAATGTACAAATGCTTGGCCTGGTGACATGAAGCTGTAATCCCAGTGCTGGGGGAGCAGGTCCAGGGGAATGGACCCTGGGGGCTTGCTGATCAGCAAGTCTAGCCTACCTGAGGAGCTCCTGGGAAGTAGGAGATATTTCAAAGGAGGTAGATGGCATTCTCATGGATGACACTAGAGGTTGACTTCTGACTCACATCACACACACACACACACACACACACACACACACACACACATGAATGAGGAGCAAATGAAGTTTCTGAAGACTTTTCTGTTTCAGGTTCCCTGGTAGACAGTTACACATGGACACCTTTCTGTATTCAGGTTCAGGGTGATAGCCTTTTCTCTCCATGGAAACCAAAGGAGACTTGTCTGGGGTGGGGGTGGGGGATATGTACCTAAGCAGACATATTACACCTTCCTGATACAATGTGTCCTGGTGCCAGGATCCTCAGTGAACATTGGTCCTACCAAGCAACTTGGACTTAAGACTTTTTGCATGAGACCGGTGGCCTTTCTAGGCCAGTTTCAATGTGGTCAGCAGGAAGACAAACCTTAGCATCTGATTTCTGATGCCTCTGTTTCTCTTGCCAGGTGGCTCACTTGATGGGCTTTTATCAAAGAGGCAGAGGTGCCCGGCATCTGCTTTGACCGACAGTTGTCCCTTTGGAGAAGTTCTTGTAAAGTCTACACTAATGATAATAATAACAACGATGACAGAAATAGGCTCTCCGTCTTTTAGATGTGTTTGGGTTTACTTGCCAATATTGTGTTAACATTTATTCCAGAGAAATTTCCATCCAGAGTGGCACCCCATAAGTGTATTCATATTCTAAGACTGTCAAACACAGAAAGGTCACGTAGGAAACACTGAGTATATGAATTTTCAGACAAGTCGACAGACCACTTATCCAGCTGATCCCAAACGGATAACGGCTGCAAAATCAATATAAAGCCTTACAAAAGCAGCTGGCCATCATCAGCCTCTTCTTGTCGTCTGTGTCTTTCAGAATTGGCTATCCGATTCCTATGTTTGCTGGATTCTGCATCATGTTTATCTCGACAGTTAGTAAGTATCTGCTGTTTGCCTTCTGCATTCCAGTCTTGGAAGGAGCCGTGTCTCCTGTGAGCTGGGAATCAGACTAGACCTGAGAGAGGAGGGGATACTGTACTGGCAATAGTACAGAAATGGGGGGGGGGCTCCATGAATCAGCCCACGGCTTCAAGCATGGGCATACTCATGAGTTTAAGGGCGGGTTCCAGAATCCCGCGGCTTCAAGCATGGCATACTCATGAGTTTAAGGGTGGGTTCCAGAATCCCACGGCTTCAAGCATGGGCATACTCATGAGTTTAAGGGCGGGTTCCAGAATCCCGCGGCTTCAAGCATGGCATACTCATGAGTTTAAGGGTGGGTTCCAGAATCCCACGGCTTCAAGCATGGCATACTCATGAGTTTAAGGGTGGGTTCCAGAATCACGCGGCTTCAAGCATGGCATACTCATGAGTTTAAGGGCGGGTTCCAGAATCCCGCGGCTTCAAGCATGGCATACTCATGAGTTTAAGGGTGGGTTCCAGAATCCCACGGCTTCAAGCATGGGCATACTCATGAGTTTAAGGGTGGGTTCCAGAATCCCGCGGCTTCAAGCATGGCATACTCATGAGTTTAAGGGTGGGTTCCAGAATCCCACGGCTTCAAGCATGGCATACTCATGAGTTTAAGGGTGGGTTCCAGAATCACGCGGCTTCAAGCATGGCATACTCATGAGTTTAAGGGTGGGTTCCAGAATCCCACGGCTTCAAGCATGGGCATACTCATGAGTTTAAGGGTGGGTTCCAGAATCCCGCGGCTTCAAGCATGGCATACTCATGAGTTTAAGGGTGGGTTCCAGAATCCCACGGCTTCAAGCATGGCATACTCATGAGTTTAAGGGTGGGTTCCAGAATCACGCGGCTTCAAGCATGGCATACTCATGAGTTTAAGGGTGGGTTCCAGAATCACGCGGCTTCAAGCATGGCATACTCATGAGTTTAAGGGCGGGTTCCAGAATCCCGCGGCTTCAAGCATGGCATACTCATGAGTTTAAGGGTGGGTTCCAGAATCCCACGGCTTCAAGCATGGGCATACTCATGAGTTTAAGGGTGGGTTCCAGAATCCCGCGGCTTCAAGCATGGCATACTCATGAGTTTAAGGGTGGGTTCCAGAATCCATTGAGTAGGATGGTCTGTGAGATCTCCTCTTCTCAAAAAAGTCTGCATTATAACCTGAGAGAAACTTCCAGCCTTCTGTATCTGCCATCACCCCTGCCCTGGCTGGCTGACATCCCAGGCCAGGGGACAGATACTTTTCCTGAAGGAGAGTTGGATTTTTCCCTGTCTTTGACATCTTCCTTCTCTCTGGAGCCAGTGCTTCTCATGTCTGCTGGGAGCAATCAAATGGATCTGTAGCCCTTCTGTGCTGCAGAGCCGACACAGCTCTTGGCCTACCTCATTTGCTTCAGGCCCTGGGCCTTGGAGGATGCTCTTGTGAGGTCCTTCCCATCCCTTCGGGGAAAACATACCTGGGGGGAGTTCAACCTGATACTAAGTTGAATGTATGCTGTCACCTCAGATCTTTCAGGGAGCAAAACATAAGAATCAAATGGGTGTTTTCTCCTGTGGGGAGAGGGTACCCGCTTACCATGGCTGTCTTGTGGATCTCTCTCTTCCTGTAGTGGGACCACCCTTTGGGAGCGTGCTCTATGAGTTTGTGGGGAAGACAGCTCCCTTCCTGGTTCTAGCAGCCTTGGTGCTCTTGGATGGAGGTGAGTGGCTGTAGTCTTACTTAGCCTCTCTAATGGTGGCATGTGCCTGGGACATATTCACTTTTCAAGAGTCATCTGTATTTTTGCTTTGTAGCCATTCAGCTCTTTGTGCTCCAGCCATCACGGGTGCAGCCAGAGGTAAGAAACTGGGAGGTAAAGGCTGGAGTGTGGCCCAGGTAACTCTCTCTAACCTCTGTTTTTTGCCTGGCAGAGTCAGAAGGGGACACCCCTAACCATCCTGCTGAAGGATCCATACATCCTCATTGCCGCAGGTGGGGCTCCTGAGTTCTTGAAGTTAAGGCTAGTTCTAAGGCGGGGTGGGTAGTAGTGATTTCCACTTGGCTGCTGGAAATAATGTGCTCAGGGATGTGGACATACTGCATTATCCTTGCTTGTTTCTTGTCTTTATGTTAAGGGCTCACGACTTGGCCTTGAACTTTCTGAAAGGGCTTACTGGCCTCACTTCAGGTGTCTCAGGTGGGCATTTGGCCTGAGAACTGAGCCCTAGAGGGTACCTCTCTACCTGCAGAATGAGAAGTCATGCCTTTGGACGTGGGGCCTAGATGGACTAAAGAAAACTCTGGGGTTCTGTGGCTCTGTCCTAGGGGAGACAGTTATCTTCCCTGCTGGGCCTGAGCCTCCCTACCCAGTGCCCAGATACAAGGCTGAGACCAGCAAGTAGCCTTCTGGTCAACCCTGCAGTCTGGCTCAGCCCGAGAGAGGACAATCTGTCTAGCTTGGCTCCCATGGTACAGAAAACTGAGTGTTTGAGACAAATGGATTTTGCCTCCTGTAGGAGATTTATATTCATCTCTTTTCAATGCTCTAATATGGGGACTGATGATGTAGCTCAGTCAGTCGATAGAGCTTGCCTGTCATGCACAAGACCTGGGTTCATTCCTGAGGACTGCATGGACTTAGCATAGTAATGCCCACCTGTGATCCCAGTACAAGTTTCTGCAAACTGGCTGTGTAGAAAACTACATGAAACTTTGTCTTAAAGAAGGAAAGAAAGAGAGAGAGAGAGAGAGAGGGAGGGAGGGAAGGAGGAAGGAAGAAAGGAAGGAAGGAAGGAAGAAAGGAAGGAAGGAAGGAAGGAAGGAAGGAAGGAAGGAAGGAACAAAGAAAAAGAGAAAAAGAAAGAACAAATCAATCAATCAAGCGCTGGACTGTTTTTTGTTGAACCCTTCTGCTGTGGGATTTAGCCAGGGCAGCACATAGGCTAAGTTCTGGGAAGCCAGTGCCCCAGCCTCTTCACGTCCTGGGTCTGCAGGGTGCACATGTTCCAGAGCTGAGGTGAGGTGGAAATAAGGGTATGGGAGGGTGTTGTCCTGGAGATGTAAATGCCCTGAATTGAGCACCTAAGAGCCAGGCAGTGTAGCCTGGGCCCTCAGTGGTTCTTGGAACCCCAGCGATGAAAGGAAAATCAAAGATGTGCCCAGCACTATTAAACTGGTTCCCATTGCATGTGGCAGTGGTGGAGGGAGCTGGGAGGCCAGGTGGATGGGAAGGGAGTCCAGTCGTTCAGATGTGTGCTGTTAAATGTCACCAGAAATGATCGCACGGCTTTCTTTGAATTTGTCCTAGCAAATTACAGGTTCCACAGAGCACAGCACAGGAAGCTTCCAGAATGAGGGAGGGCCAATCTGTGTGTCTCTTTCCAGACGGCTCTGTATTTACAAAGAGCTTGGTTAAGGGATGAATAATGACTTGTATGTATACTCTATGTGTGTATGGCTAGAAAAAAACACCTGTCCCCAGCACACTTGTACCCAGGGCACCATGACCCTTGGTTTTTCTGACACTGCAGGGATCGTGAAAACTATCCAAGCCCATTGCACAGTATAACCCAGTCACACGAGACCCAGAATGCCCCATATTGTGCCTGCTCTGCTGGCTGCCACATTCAGCTCTCTTCCTTAATGAACTTGAACACTTTTTCTTCATTTTTAGGGTGAATGGGTTAAGCCAAATGAGCTCAATGGCTCCCCCATTCCAGCTATAGACTACATAACTCTGGGATTGGGCTTGCTAAAAATTAAAGTCAATACTCCTTGCTGTCCTCTTGGCTTGATGTTTAGCGTTTGTCGGGTCTCTGAGTGGGGCACGTGGGGTCTGTGTTTGACGCGATCACAGACAGTCAGTATGGAGGCAGAGGCAGACTGACCTTCCTCCTCCAATGCAGGCTCCATCTGCTTTGCAAACATGGGGATAGCCATGCTGGAGCCCGCCCTGCCCATCTGGATGATGGAGACCATGTGTTCCCGAAAGTGGCAGCTGGGTAAGGACTAGGGGGGGTCCCGTGTGTCTGTGTGCCCGCTCTGCAGAACCACCCATTGCAAGGTAACAGAGTGGTCACTGTTGCTTGCCTCAAATGGGCTTTGGGGTCAGTTCCAGCTTTGTTTTTGTTGTTATTTTTATGTATTATTTATTTATTTAATTATTTTTTAATCATTCCTGGCAGATGCTGCAAGTGAAAAGGGGGGGAGTACAATGAGGTTGAGGAGGGAGAGGAAACATTCACACTAATCTTATTACGGGACATTGTTAGAATCGTCATACTTCCTTGTCATTGTCAATCCCCAAGTGTCTGTTTTATGAACTACATTGTACCACATACTCACAGAGTTTGGTACTCCAGCTTCAGGTAGCTACTGAAGTCTTGGAATGTATCGTCCACAGATATTGGTAG